AATTAATGGTATAATATAATGTATTAAATATTTATATAACACTTTATTAAATAAATTTATTTCATGAAATTAACTTTATATAATATCATTAATATTTAAGTATTGAAAATTCGCAATAAACTGAAAAATATTTATTACAAATCGAATATAATAAAACATAAGAAATAAATACATAATTTTAAAATGTTATATATGATTCATTGTAATAATAAATGTTAAATTATTATTTAATATTATAATAAATTTTCCGATATTTTTAGATTTCTTATTCTTTTTCCCGTATATAATAATAATATTATATTATTATTTAATATTATAATTTTTGATTGACAATAATAAATTCATTTTAATTAGTTAGACATTAAGATAATAAATTTAATATATATCACTAATACACGATATTTATTTATAAATGTAATTAACTAAGAGACACATATTTATCACAGTTGAATAAATAAATTTAAGATGATATGGTAAATATTTATTTTTATAATTATTTTTATAAACTTAAATAACTTACAAATATTTTTATAAACGAACAAAATTCAAATATTGATGTAATTGTTTTTAACATGAATAAGTTAAAATGTTTTTATAAATTGTCACACGGGTTAAAGACACTTATAAACGAGAAAAAGTCTACATATTAATATAATTAATTTTACAAATCAAAAATAAATTATAATAATTTTTATAAACATGAATAAATTATAAATATTTTTATAAACCGGAAAAATTCAAGTATTGATACAATTATATTTATAAAAGAGTATAAGTTTCATATATTTTTATAAATAGACACACGCGTTCATTTTTATAAACGAGAATAATTTAAAATTATTTTTATAAATGAGAAATTCAAATTTGATAAATGATTATATATTGTAATTATATTAATATTAACCAACTGAATACATGAAATAAATTCACGGGTAAAATAAATGTATTTATGACATACCAGATAATTGAAGTTAAAGAATTAAATGTACTGTTTTAAATGACAATTAAGTTATATTTTTAAATACAAATTAGAAAATAAATTCATCTAAAATAAATTTCATTCATTAAATAAATATAGAAAATAATATACAATAGTTTTATCTATAAATTTTATTTATTTTTTATGTTCTTTTTAAAAATAATTGTAATAACGGGAAACTGTTATACATTATAGGTTGTAAAAAAATATGTAAATATGATATAATATAAAAGTTTTAAAACTGAAATTTGACGGGAGATGTCATACATTTTTAATTTGAAAAAAATGGATTAATATATAAAATATGTTTAATAAATTTTTAAAATTAATTTATTTGGATTCAACTGAAGTTCGTTAACTCACGTAGATGTTAGCACATATAATATAAAAGTATAAATTTGACGGGAGTTGTCATATATTTTAGGTTTGGAAAAATGGGTTGATATCTAAAATAGATTTAATAAATTTTTAGAACTAATTCATTTGGATTCAACTGAGTTTGTTAAATCATCTTAATTCACGGGTAGATGAGAACGCATCTATGAGATACTGATTATAGATTGTTAATTTTAATATTCATCTTTTAAATCTTATATAATTGAAGTTAGTGAATAGTCGGTATGATTTATTATAAATACATATTAATACTTAAAAAACAAGTGCATATTATTAGTCTATATTTATTAGTCATGCATGTAAAGAACATAGATAACATCTTTTACATCCCTCGAATGTCTATGTCACATTTTGAGTCACTGTGACCATTTAAGTTGATTAGGAGAAAATTCCCAATTATTGTCTCTAACGCAATGACAATTAATAAATCTCAAGGCCAATCACTTGATATCGTTGGATTGTATTTGCCTACTCCTGTTTTTAGTAATGGACAATTGTTAGTAATGGACAATTGTGTGTAGCCATTTCAAGAGTTACAAGCAAAAGTTATCTTAAAATCTTAATAAATGATAATGAGAATGTATCATCTTCTATCACTACAAGTGTTGTATACAATGAAGTTTTTCAATTGCTTTGTTAATGGGTAAGTACACGACAATACAAATGTTTTTGTTTATAAATTATTTGCATATTTGGTGTCTGATTTTTGCACAAATTATCATGCAGACTAATGAGTTGAAAACATCAATGGAAAGCAGGTTGCTTCATATCTAAAGTTCAAATACGATATTGTTATCATTAATGTTATCGATGGAAAGCAAATTAATTTGATACACTAATTTTTTTCTCTAATTGATTGAACTTTGGTTAAATCATTTTAATATTTTAAATTTGAATAATATATAAGAATGATCTATTACAATTCAAAGTTAGTTCTATATTATATGTAATTCGGACAAGACCCATATGATACCACATATTTTTTAATAGTTATATATCTAAAATCAAAACCATTGAACGAGCCCGCTCTCCTTAAAACAAAATTACAAAAACGCCTAAGGACATATGAAAACAAAACCACTGCTCTTATTCCATCTGAGTTGTGCACAGACCCGCCGCCATCTTACACGTACTCCAATCCTCCGCTTTACGTGCAGATCCGCGGTGACGCCGCCACACTCATTGCAATTGTTTGAGTTAAGAAGGTATTCGCAATGTATATCGTAGGTTCTCGATGGTACTGTACTAATTCCTTCTGCTTTACACACAGATCTACAGCCACCTTATATGGACTCCAATCCTTCCGCTTTGCCTGCAGATTCGCGGCGACGCCGCCATGCTCGCCGCATTTGTTTGAGTTAAGAAGGTATTCACAATGTATATCGTAAGTTCTCGATGGTACTGTACTAATTCATTCTGCTTTACGCACAGATCCGCAACCATCTTACACGAACTCCAATCCTTGCGCTTTGCGTGCAGATCCGCGGCGACGCCGCCATGCTCACCGCATTTGTTTGAGTTAAGAAGGTATTCACAATGTATATTGTAAGTTCTCAATGGTAATGTACTAATTCCTTCTGCTTTACGCACAGATCCGCAACCACCTTATATGGAATCCAATCCTTCCGTTTAGTCATGGTCAATTATATGTTGCAATTTCAAGAGTTAAGAGCAAAAGTGGGCTAAAAATCCTAATTCATGACAAGGAGAATATACCGTGTTCTACTACTACTAATGTTGTGTACAAGGAAGTCTTTCAAGCACTTTGATAGTTGGTAAACTTTATATCTTATACTTTACGATTCAAATTAAAAATCTATTTTGAATTAAAATATATAGTATGTACATTTTCCATGTATTTCAAGAAGTATATAATTTTTCCTATTTGTTCATGCAGACGTGATTTGTTGATAGGACCGACGCTTGCTACAAATATGGAGTTAAATGCCAACATGGTTTACATGAGACATATACTCAACTGAAAACATGGTAACATACTTAATAATTTAATAATCTATAAATGTAATGTGAATCCAGACGAGACCCGTGCGATAGCACGGGTTTGTTACTAGTATACATATATAATTATCAACAATCTTTTTTGTTCATTTGGAGGGTTGTATATTAGATCGCCTTGTTTGTATTTGTTTTTGAAAGTATCAATAAATTATTTTTATTTCAAACAAAAATTGAGTAAAATTTTTTTTATAACAATTGTCGTTTTAATTACGGTGATTTTTCTTTTGTTTTTAATTTAAATTTCAATAAAAATAGTTTCATCTCTTTTTCTTTTTATAATTATAAATTATTATTATTAAAAGACTCGTGCGTCCGCACGAGTCTCATAATGTATTTAAAAATAAATAAATATAATATAGAGATGTATTATACTTTTATTAAAAATAATAAAAAATATTATAATTAGTATTATGTATAAAAAATTGAGAGCTATACGTTCGCATGAGTTCCGCAATGTTGCTATAAGTAGTAAATAAATATAATATAATGATGATTAAGAAATGTATATAAAAATATATAAATTAAGTATTTTGATTTGTCGGAATTGTATATTTTAGTAGAAAAATAAAGAAAATAATTAAATGGTCATTTATCCGAACATTCACATGGATCATACAAATTGTTATAAATAGTAAATAAATATAGTATAGTAGTAAATACATATAATATAATGATGATTAAGAAATGTATATAAAAGATATATAAATGAAATATTTTTTATTTATCATATAGTATAGTAATGATTGAAACAAAAAAAAATACATATATATAAAATTATGTAAAAGATATTTAAATTAAGTAAATTTGATCCGTCGAAAAATATATATTTTAATAGAAAAAATAAAAAAAATAATTAAATAATTATCTACCACACGAGTTGTTTAATATCACTATAAATAATAAATAAATAATTATATATATAAAATAATTATATATCGGTGCGTTATGTTTGACAACATTGTTACTTACTATTTATTTGAAAATATTAAAATACAAAGAGTTACTAAATGGTAGCGGTTATTAAAAACTTAGAATGTAGTGAGTTGAAAAAATCTTGGAAAAACTCAAAGGAAGTATCGTTTATGTAAATATCTGTTTTCATATCTATTTGGTAATGCAAAATAACGTATATTAATATTGGTCCAATATTATTTAATTAATTAATTTAATACAATAGATCATAATTATTGTTGATGATTTAATACAAATGATAATTATGTCCATAGCTTAAGAAGTAATTTAATTTGATGAGAAATGTAATTAAATCGGTTATTACTTTTCTTATAATAGTAGATAACAATTAACAAATTATGATTGGGAGGTGAATGAAGGGTTATCTCAACAACAAGAAGAAAAATAAAGGAGGAGTTGGAAGATTAGTGTGAATAAAAATTTAAAAGTAGCATATTTTGATATAAAAAATAAAAAAATAATTGAAATTAATGGTGCGGTTTATTTTAAGAAGTGAATCAGGCGAAAAGATATGGCCTGAAATATAAATATTGATTGGTGTTTTACACTAACCGTGAAATATAAATATTGATTGGTGTTTTACACTAACCGTGAAATAAGAGTGGAACTGTTGTGGTTAAAAAATCTGGATACTATGGATTACTACAACATACTGAAAGTGAGTCGAAGCGCAACCGACATTGATGTGAAGAAATCATACAAAAAGCTTGCTATGATATGGCACCCTGACAAAAACCCTGCTAACAGAGACGAAGCTGAGTCCAAATTCAAGCTGATTTCTGAAGCCTGCGATGTTTTAACCGATCCAGACAAGCGTAGAATCTACGATAATCACGGCGAGGCCGCGCTTAAGTCTGGCGTCGTCCCTCCACCACCCCCCAAACATTCGCATTATCCTTATGCATCTTCGTCCTCGTCTTCACGCCTGAATCGTCAGAGCAGTACCGCCTATCATTATAATCCTCGCAGTCCGCATGATATTTATACTGAGATCTTCGGTCACGATGATATAGAAACTGGTGCTGCTGTGCGGTTTGGTCGGAATCCTAAGAAGAAGAAAGCTCCTCCTGTCGAGCGTCCCTTGCTTTGCAGCCTGGAAGATCTGTATCAAGGAGTTGAGAAGAAGTTGAAGATTACAAGAACTGTAACCGATCATCATGGGTAAATCAATTTTTAACCCTAACTTTATTATTATTATTATTATATGCTTTGTTTGATTTTTGTTGTGATTGATTAGTTATTAGGTCTAAATGCTTTCTTCATTGAATTTGAATCTAATTTGAGTGAATATTAACTTGAAATTGAATTTAATTGCTAATTATTAGTAATACAAACTCATCTAATCATAATTCTGAAATTGAAGTCACAATAACCCCCCTTTTTGCTTAGAGTGATTTGACGATATTAATATAGCTATATGATTGTTACACCTGAGAAACTCAGTGCACGAGTTGATAGTTCTGAGAGTACAAATTTATGAAATTTGAATTGGATTTAGTTACTAATTCTGTTAGTGAAATGGAGGGGTTTTACAAATTTTCCAAATCATTTTCACTGTTTATAATACTCCCAAACTAGGTGAAACACTCTCCTTCTATTCCTTCCCCCTCCTCCCAAAGCTCTCTCCTTCTAGTCCTTCCCCCTCCTCCCAAAGCTCTCTCCTTCTTTTCCCTGCCATCTTGCAAACAAGACCTTTGGCTTTAGGTGATGATTGAAGTTTTGGGTTTTGATCCTCTCCTAATATTAGAGAGTGTTGGGGTAGCACCTATAGTTAAAAAATTGGTGGAAAATAGACTTAAGTGGTTTGGACATATAGAGGAAAAACCTGTAGATTATGTGGTAATGAGAGTAGATCAGATGGTAGAGGAAAACATAGAAAGACTATAAGAGAAGTTATTAAGAAAGATCTCGAGATTAATGATTTGGATAAAAGCATGGTCTTGATTAGAACATTACGGTGGAAATTGATCCATGTAATCAACCTCACTTAGTGGGATAAAGCTTGATTGTTGTGGTTGTTGGAGAGTAATGTTGAACATTAAAATGTTGTGTTACCTAATGAAGTTGAAATGTATGAATGAGTTGTAAAGTAATTAAATCATTGTAAGTAATTATAATGTACGCATGAAAGATATGAATATAGCATATACCCTTAAACTCAATCATAGGAGGCACAATGTTTCTTTTAGATCAGATGTGCAATACACATTTTCTAGAGGGTTCAAAGCCCAAGATGGAAAATACTGCAGTTAAGGATTAGACCTTAATCTGATAGGATAGGATAGGGTCTTTTAGGATTTAATTTTGTTATTTGGCTTGCATATTTCTCTAGATAGGATTAGGATATAATTATATAAGATCTGCTTATTATTTGGTTTCCTTGTTTCCGGGTTCATCTTCTTAGAAGTGGATGGTTTCTATTATTGAATGATAAGCAATAAAACTTGGTGTTTCTGGTCTCTTGAAGCATTAGCATCCATCATAGTAGGACTTGTAGGCTCTGTCAATTTCTAGCATGCAGAAAATTTTCATTGGACATATCCTCTGAAGCATGGGTACTTCTAAAATGGTGAAGTACCGGTACCGAGTACGCACCCGTACCGTACTCGTGGTACTTCTTTTTTTCTCATTATTCAGTTTTGAGTGAAATTTGTAATTTTCTCATATAACAATCTAGTATGTTTATGTATTTTAAGTTCTTTGTTATTGGATCTTAACATTATTTTTGGTTTTATTTTGAAGTTTTATATTGATGTTATGATGTAAATTAAACAATATAGTTTTCTACTCATACATTTTATAAAAACTTTTAATTTTTACTAACGTACCCGTACCTTGATTTTTTTTTAAATGCCGTATCCCATACTGGTACCAATACCCGCACCGGATACCGTACTCGTACCTATGCATCATAATATCTTTAAGACTCTAACAACAAAAGTAGTTTCATGGTTGGCTCTTAACCTCTTTCTATTTTACATGTGATATGATGTCATTGTAGGAGTTAAGTATAACATATCCCCAAAACTTGATAATTTATTGTGAAAGTGAATGTGATAGCGTGGTATCTAATGGTGTATAACATAGTTCATTTGATTCAATGATTATTTATAAAAAAACATTGAGAATTTTGGGACCATTTTAAACTTTCTATGGATTATGAATGTTGGTCTTTTCTGATGGTTGATAATCTTATTGAAAGTTTCCTTGTGCATCGTAAAATTTGTGGCTCGGGGTTGAAGTGGGATTTGATCCAAGTTTGTGAAACACCTTGGAAATAGTGAAAAGTCATTTTTCACTGATTCTTGTGCAAATCCTAGAAAAATAGGGAACAAAGTGAAAATAATTTTAGCATTTTTCCAATTAAAAGCGAGACAGAAACAAGATTTTGAAAATAAGAAGCAAAATGTATACAACATTAACCCTTTTCTGACAATTAAAGAAAACACGTGATTTTATAATGGAAGCAGAAATGAAACCAAACACTCCAGAAGTTTGTATTTTGAATTTTTTTTGGTATTTGTTATGACTATAAGTGTGAATGAGAGGAGATTGATGGTAAGCCAAAGGTCTAGAAAGAGAATTTCAGAAAATCAAAGAAGTCAGTTATCACATAATCATGTAACTCTACATTTCCAGATATAGTAGACAACTTAACTGATATCCTAGTTGACAGTTTCCTAACCACTGCAACAGTGATGCCGACAAGAGTCTGATAAGAAGCTCTAGTAAACCCCTGTACAAGCAGTTACTCTAAGAGGTTAAATTGATGTCTCTGCTATCTACTTAACAAATGGAGGATATGTTTGGATATCCCGCCATATATGACTAGTAAACAAAATGAACTAATCAAATCAAAATGTACAAATTAAAATGGATATGTTAAAAACCGGTTTTAATAGTTCAGTCTTTGTCAATACAGTTTATATATGGATATGATTAGACCGATTTATCTGTTACTATTTTCCCTTAAGCGGGAGACACTGTTTACTTGTAGCAGGATCATCTTTTTAGAAAATTTCTTCAATAGTTCTTTCATAGAAGAAATGAATATTTTCGGATTGCTTATAATGTTTGACGTATGCAAACTATTTCAGGAAGAGTCGTACTGAGGAGGAGATTGTGACTATTAACATAAAACCTGGCTGGAAGAAGGGGACAAAGGTTACCTTCATTGAAAAGGGTGACCAAGGGCCTGGCGTCATCCCAGCAGATATCATTTTTTTAATTGAGGAGAAACCACATGCACGTTATATAAGGAATGGCAATGATCTGATAATTAACCAAATGATGACTCTGGTCGACGCCCTTACAAATAAAATATTGGAAATCCCTACCTTGGATGGGAGGCGACTCATGGTCCGGTTGTCAGGTATAGTCACACCTGGCTATGAGCACGTAGTACCTAACGAAGGAATGCCATTATCCAAAGAACCTGGAAGGAAGGGAAATTTAAAAATTAAGATTATTGGCATCAAGTATCCCTCGAGTCTAACTCCTCGGCAAAAATCTGATCTGAGGGGTGTCTTGAGTTAAATCAAGTAAAAGAAATTGTATGCACATTGTGAATATATGATGTGCATGGAATTTATGCATGTGAATAGAATATCAGGGTGCCATACTTGATTTTTTTTGCAGGGTAGGAATCGTAAGTAAGTTAATGATAGGAAGCACCAATCTTGGTGAAACAAATAGTTAGTCAAGTTCTGTTGGTTTTTCATTATTTTACATTAGCTTGTTTTTCCTTTTTTTTGGTTTAACTTAAGTTTATTGGTTTTTCATTATTTTACATGGTTTTTCGTTATTTTACATTAGCTTGTTTTTCCTTTTGGCTTAACTTGGGTTTCTGGAGCGTTGATTTGATCACAATGAATCATGTTTGATATGCTGTTTTTTGGTTTCTTTTTAATTGAACACAACTCTTTCATTAGTGTCTATCTTGTTTCTCTTTTGAATTTTCTACAATGGACACAATTGATGTGATTTTGGTCATGACCTGAAACACTTCTATGTGTTCATTACATTACTATAGTTTAAGGATTGTTTTTGGGAGGTTTCCGTGGCTCTGCAAATAATTTTAAGGATTGTTTTAATATTCAATTCTGTCTCTATTCCAAAGGATTTTTCATAGTTTATTTTTAATGCTTTAAAGTTTCTAGGACTTTTTTTATACGGGATAAATCGATAATTTTTTAGTAATTTTTGCAGTTATCTATATTGAATCTTTTAGAAGAAAAAGAAAGTAGACCAAACCATTTTTGACAGATTAAATAGTTGTGTCAGGAAGAAAACACGAAACAATGAACTTTCAAAAATAGTGCTCCAAAGCTCTTTTGAGCGATTATGCAGTTTTTTGTTTTTGAAAAAATTACACATCTTTTTAGTAAAAGAAAAATATCATACTCTAATCACCAAAAGATGTTTTACCTCGTAATATTTGTTAGCTGACGCTTGCTCTTTTTCATGTGATGCGAGTAATATTAGTAAAAGTTTGATCTTAGAGGGCGTAAAGTCATGATAGTTGGACACATCTTACTTTAAATTGTGATTCACATTTCTGAAAATTTAAAAATATTTTTATTATATTTAGAGATGTATTTTTAAATACATTTGAAATTACACTAACAAAAATGTTGGAAGTGAGATATTCTTATTTTGTACAATTAATTTTCTTACGAATAATTAAAAAGTGGGAGGCAGAGAAAGAAAAAACATGTTGCATTTTTCAGTGTATATAGTGTATGTGTAGTGAGTGTGCAATAGTGTTGTGTGTTGAATCAAATAATTGCCCTATATGTCGTCAACCTATCGAGCAACTTATAGAGATCAAGATAAACAACGACGATGAATAACACCATCTTTACCGAAGCCAAGCTGAATAAGAACATGTTTTTTTCTTCACTTTATGTAAATTGCAGTCAATAGTCTGTTTATAGTTCATATGCAATGTAATCAGTAGAAAGTTAGATTCTATGTGATTTTCCTGTTGTTTAATGTTACTTTTGCATAATCTTTTTGTAATGTATATTTTTGGCCTTTTGCTTTAAGGAAATGAATAAGGAGACAAAGTAGGGAGTATTTTACCAACTACCTCAGTTATATTTGACACTCTTTAAATGGTAAGAAAAGACTTAAATAATCTAATTCAAGTTTTTCATTATTTTACGAAATTTTAAATAGAAAATTGAATATTTCAAAATTCTAAGACGATACTGGAGATTTGGAGGCGATATCGGAGATTTGGAGGCGATATCAGAAATTTCACATAAAAATAAGAATTTTTGGTATATTTAGAAAATTTTCGATAGAATTTCACGGAAATTTCAGTATTTCCAATGTTTTAGGTAGCATTTTGTACTGAAAATTTTGAAAATTCTAATATTTCAATTTTTTTTTGAAAAATTTCGGAAATTTCAAAATTTTCAGTAGGTCGCTTTCTTTAAGACGTTTCGCGGCACTGCTCAAAATTATGCAAAGCAGTCGAACTACCACGCCGCCTCCAGGATAAAACAGCCTAGTTCTATATTGTACGATTACTACTTGCATAATCGGTCTAGAAATACACCCTCTTATGGTACAAGACCATTCAAATATGGTATCAACACCACTCGTAGTATCTGGTACAAGGATCAGTCATAATAATTTCTCAAACAAAAAGAAACTCAAATAATTCTCCAAAGAGAAATTAATAATGGTTATTTGACCACTCATAATAATTTCTCTAACAAAGAGAAATTCAAATAATTCTCCAAAGAGAATCCAAAAGATTAAACTTGAAAATTTCTCAACTCAAATGAGGAGAAATTAACATAATTTTCTAAAGAGAATTCAAGAAAATACTCGGAAAATTCAAAGAGCAACTTTCATATGAGAGTGAGGAAGGAAAAACTAATAGAATAGTTTTTGGTGTAATTTGGAATGAAATATGTGCACTCCTTATATAGTGAAGTAAGATATTTAATATTTCTCACATGAGCAATGTGGGACTAAATGGTTTTTTCAATCAAAAAGATATTTTAACAATGTGGGACTTGAGAAAAATTTTAAATTCAACATATTAGAACATGGACATGTTCCAACAATCCCCCACTTGAATTTAAAAAAAATTGATTTTAGAAGTAACGTCAAACGTTTCTAAGATTGTGCATAAACAAAGGTGTTTACGACTTGAACCTTTGCATAGCAAGTAGGATTTCAATTCAACAAGAGTGACACAAATGTCTTGAACTCTATCTCAGACATCAAACTCGCACACAACCTTTTCTTAAGGTGTATTCTAATAGTTCGTGCTTTAATGGCCCTGCACGTGTATCCCAGTTTAATGAAGGCTCTAGGAATTCTGCCTCGAAATTCCATAGGAACCGGCCTAAGTTCCACAATCACATAGGTGAGTCTATCAAGAGTACTCCTGTAGTCTAGGTACTCCCTCATACAGAGTATAGATCTTATTAAGAGTTTCTATTATCTCATCCTCTTATTACTTCAGGATTCATGCTTTACTTGCATGATCATCTCATATTACTCACAACTTGTTATTACCCATTGAACCTATTTCTTGGGATCTCCAGTCATTTAGGTCGGGTTACCATCATGAGCAACTCATTTTTCTATAGGCATTAGTCTCATCTTATATGATGTATTATAGACTTTCTCTCTAGCTAATCCTTTCGTCAAAGGATGTGCTAAATTTTCATCAGTGCGTTCATGATCCACTCTTACAGTTCCTTTAGAGATACAATCTCTAACAATACTGTGCTTTCTTCTTATTTGACGTCTTTTACCATTATAATAACAGTTCTCACTTTTTGCAATAGCCGCGGTACTATCACAGTGGATCAACACAACTGACATATATTTTTCCCATAAGGGAATCTCAGTTAGCAAGCATCTTAACCAACTTGCTTCTTCACTAGCAGTCGCTAATGCTATATTCTCAGGATAGTATGTTTCTTTAATTTCCAAGATACAACTCATCTAGCTATGTTGAATACATAGCCATTAGTTTCTTTGGAATCATCTGATAAGGTATTCCAATCTGCATCATTGTATCCTTCAGGTACAATAGGAAATCTATGATAATGTAAACCGAGATTCATGGTCCTTTTAAGGTATTGTATGACTCGCTCACTAGCTTGTCAATATTCATTACTCGGTCTACTAGTAAACCCGCACAAGAATCCCACGACATATGCAATGTCAGGTTTAGTACAATCAATGGAATACCTAAGACTTTCAATGATGCTCGCATGTTCTGTTTGTCTAACACTTTCACCAGTGTTCTTAAACAGCTTCACAATTGGATCATTTAGTGTGCTCACAAGTTTACTGTCAAAGTAATTATATTTATTTAAGATCTTTTTCACATATTGTGATTGATTCAAAGAAATTCCTTACTCGGATTTTGTGATCTTGATACCAAGAATCACACTCACTTCTCCGAGGTCTTTCATATCAAAGTTGTTGCACAACAATGATTTCATATCATTAATGGCCTGAATGTTTGATTCAAATATGAGTAGATCGTCTACATATAGACGTATGATAGTGCAAATACAATTCTCAAATTTGTAATAAATGTATTTGTCACTTTCATTCACTTTGTACACATTCGATATCATTAAGTTATCAAACTTTACATGCCATTGCTTTGGAGCTTGTTTTAGCCCACACAAAGACTTATCTAACTTACAGACCTTGTTTTCTTATCCATAGATCACAAACCCTTCCGGTTGTTTCATATAGATTTCTTCTTCTAAGTCACCGTTTAAAAAAGTTGTTTTAACATCCATTTGGTGTACTAGTAAGTTATAAATAGCAACTATTGAAATAAGTACCCTAATGGATGTAATTCTAGTGACGGAAGAAAAGGTGTCGAAGAAATCTATATTTTCTCTTTGTCTAAAACCCTTGGCAACAAGGCGAACCTTGTATTTATCAATAGTTCCATCAGGTCTTTGTTTCTTTTTCAAAACCCATTTACAACCGACCAGTTTGCAACCAGGAGGCAAGTCTACTAAGTGCCAGGTCTTGTTAGATTCTAGAGATTCTATCTCATCATTGATAGCTTCTTGCCATAAATAAACATCCAGAGATGACAAGGCTTCTTGAAGATTCATTGGATCTTCTTCTACATTATAAGCCACATAATCAGGCCTATAGTCTTTAGCAACTCTTACTCGTTTACTTCGTCGAAGTTCTGTTTCTACATTGTCGTTGCTTTCTGTGCTTCTTATCATAGGAATGTGACTCGATTGTGTGCCCCCACTATTTCTCAATTTGAAAGGAAATTTGTCTTCATAGAATTCAACATCAGTTGATTCTATGATCACTTTTGCCTTTAGGTCATAAAACCTATATGCTTTATTGCTTGCTGCATGCCCAATGAAAACACATTCATATGCTCTACTAGCGAGTTTAACTCGTTTCGAATCTGGAATTCTGACATAAGACAGATGTTGTACCCCAAAATTTGCCCTCGCATTTTTCCCCAAGAAATCTCAGCTTCAAACATTTCCTGACTTTTCAAACCGGCTCAA